GCTTACAATGCTCCCAAGGTATGTGAACTCATCCACTTCCTCAACCCGCTTCCCAGCTACCGACACAACATCACCACGTTTGGTACCAATACGCATCAGCTTTGTCTTGGTGGCATTGATCTTCAGGCCTACCTTCGCACTTTGTACCTCCAAGGCTCGTGTCTTATCCCTCATATCCTGTATTCTGTGCGACAGTAGGGCCAGATCATCGGCAAAGTCAAGATCTTCTAATGATGTCGTAAAGGTCCACTGAATACCTCTTTTAATGCTGGTAGAACACAGAAAGAATATATCTCAAACCTAAGAAAGGGCAGAGTATTGCAAAATTTAAATTGGGTAAATAATATATTTCAGTATAGCTTTTGGCAACGGAAAACAAAATTGGTATCATTCGTCGCATCGCCGCGCTGTTAACAAATGTGAACCAGCCTGTCAGTGAAGTAAAAACCTCTCATGTATTTTTTGTCATTTCTTTAGGAATACAGAAGAAAAATCTACGTTGACAGCAAAGTTGAGAAGAATCCTTGGTACGCAATCAAGTCCAACATCCGGGTTAGCGACAGAAGGAATACATGTTTTTCGTCGTAACGCGGCAAAGTGCTTACGCCAATCATAACCTGCTTCGACGGATATGACAACCAAGGTACCAGAGGAGGCGCACGCATGCAAGCAATGCGGCCAGTTCTTTAACCAGTTATCAGCTTACAAGGAGCATGAACGAACTCACACGGGAGAGAGGCCGTATAGATGCAAATATTGTACCAAGTGCTTTAGGTGCTCATCATTTTGCAAGCGACATGAACAAACTCACACAGGAGTGAAGCCGTATACATGCAAACATTGTAGAAAGTGCTTTAGTCAGTTATCAAATTGCCAGGTGCATGAACGGATTCACACAGGAGAGAAGCCGTATTCATGCAAGCATTGTAAAAAGTACTTTAGTAGCTCATCATCTTGCAAGCAACATGAACGAACTCACACAGGAGAGAAGCCGTATTCATGCAAGCATTGTAAAAAGTATTTTAGTAGCTCATCAGCTTGCAAGGTGCATGAACGAATTCACACAGGAGAGAAGCCGTATTCATGCAAGTATTGTAAAAAGTGCTTTAGACAGTGTGGAATTTGGAAGCAACATGAACGAACCCATACAGGAGAGAAGCCGTATTCATGCAAGCATTGTAAAAGGTGTTTTTGTAGCTCATCTGCTTGCAAGCAACATGAACGAACTCACACAGGAATAAAGCCGTACACATGCAAGCATTGTAAAAAGGGCTTTGGTGGCTCATCAGATTGCGAACGACATGAACGAACTCACACAGGAGAGAAGCCATATTCATGCAAGTATTGTGAAAAATGCTTTGCCCAATTAGGAACTTGCAAGCAACATGAACAAACTCACACAGGAGAGAAGCCATATTCATGCAAGTATTGTGAAAAATGCTTTGCCCAATTAGGAACTTGCAAGCAACATGAACGAACTCACACAGGAATGAAGTCGTTTATATGCAAGCATTGTCATAAGTGCTTTAGTGACTCATCGGCCCTTGAGCGGCACGAACAAATTCACACAGGTGTTAAGAAGCCGTATAAATGGAAGCATTTCAAAAAAAGCCCTAGCCGGTCATCAATCTGGAAGGCACGTGAAGAAAGACACGCAACAAACAGTCCTTCAAAAGGCGAGCAGCATAATCAGTACTATCAACCAACAAGACACCTTCAGGATCCAGCTACAAGTCACGGTGGGGAAAATTCAAGCCAAGTTGAGCGCCTCACCTGTTGGATTTGTCAGGAGGAATTTAGTGACGAGACATGTCTCATCCAACATTACGATGATCATATGATATATCGGGATATAGGGATATAGGGCTACGTCACTGCAAGGCATACTGAGTAAATCTTTCACTTAATTTTCCTCTAGTCGTATATTTAGTCATATATTTGTATCGAGCTTACTGGAACATGTTAGTTATAGTCAAAGCAGTTTAGTCCTTGGAGGGCGCCGCTTAGTTTATTAAAGCATCAAAATATAACAGTCACAATGCCGGAAGTAAAGTCGCTTTGAATTTTTCGTTTGGTCAATCGGGGCAAAACGTGAATCCCAGGGAAGCAATCTCGTATGTAACAGAGAAGCCCGTTTAATACGGACATCATTTTGGGAAATAAAAGATTTTATGATAGCAAGATAGATCTTACTATCGAAAAAATATTGTTTCAACGAGAAGTTATGGACAGAATAGTGTTTTCTTCACTAATTGGTTCAAATGTGATGCTGACAAGTCATTGTGACGATCTGTCAACACATCATTATCATGTGACTTACCTTCCTTGTTTCGACCTAGACCTAGTCTCCTTCCGCAGCTGTTTTTTGGAATGTCACACAACGCGTTTGTTTGGGGGAGCGTTGCGTGACATCCCAAAAAACGGCTGCGTGGAAGACTAGGCCAGACTACGCAACAATATTTTTTATATTTGAACGACGCACTACCAAACACAGTTCGGCTAGATACATAATATGTCTTAGTTGGTGCCTGTATTTATCCCAGTCGAACTAAACGTCGTTCGTACGAAAGCGGCAATCCTCGCAAGGGTTGTGAACGACACTCAAAAACAACCAGGCGTAGTGAGTCTATAAAAATCAATATCGGAAATCAATCGATTCAATCGATATCAATCGCCGATTGCTTTCGATTAATAACGGCAATCGATAACTCAGAAAATTGTTTTTATCGATTCCTATCAATTGGCAAAAGTCGATAACAATGGATAATTCCTTTGTTAATATAATTCCCGATAATCTATTAGTATCGATTATCGGTTTATCGATTGACTACGCCCACCCTGGGTGCCAGAGGTTTTTCTTACGCAGTTTCCGGTGTCGGTTATGTCTCTACTGTGACCCGCGCGTATGGTCCAGAAAAAACTGTATCGAACCACCTTAAATTAACAGGGTATGGTTTTTGCACCCTAGTCTTGAATTGGGTATGTTTTTTGGAAGAAGTACTTTTTCATCATTATATCGATCAAGCCTAAGACCATCAACAAAAGCCCTCCACAAATTATGTTTAAGGAAATTGTTAGGTCACAAATAGGGTATCGAATTTTTTTTGTCAGGTCATAAATAGGGTAGGGAAAATCGCAGATTTTGATCATAAGTAGGGTTAAGGTTTGAAGACCCCACCCAATTAATATTTTTCTGGGAGTATCACCCATCCTGCCCAGGATAAGACGACGTGACCTCTGTCTTGATTTCAGTGTGGCGTATTTTCTCTCTTTCTGGAATAAAGTTCTACCTCTAGCACGGGTTCGTTTATGTATGTATTCTTCTTCGCGAAACTGAGACACATTTCAGCCGACAAATCAGAAAACTGCATGCAAGTTAACTTGGATTCTCTCTTATGGTCCTTATGTAGAGCGGGGAATAGAAAGAAGAGCGAGGGGACTGGACTACGCATGCAGAGACGAGAGACTGGGCTCTAGTGTAATCCTGTAATGGCGGCGGCCTGCTTGTAATTTGCTGTGCAAGTTGTTGTCGCTGGTTTATAAAGGTAAGAGAGTCCATAAGAATGCCTTTTTGAGGTCAGGCTCATCTTAAAAATACAGAGTCACCTATTTTCATCTCACTGAATAACAAAAAATAGTTTCTGTGTTTTATGATATTCCAAGTTGAACCGAACGCCATCGCTTTTTTGATTCAAAGGACTAAAACAAGTAGTTATGAGAAATACCGTCTTTGGTTATGATTTAAGTACTATATATTTCTATATTACTCTTTTTTCATTTACGACATTGATCAAATGATTTGTAATTGTTTTAGTCACTTATATTTTTCCATGTTTGTCCAGTTGACCAGTATCACATTCAGATCGATTTGGTTTACGCGAATGCCACATGAAATAATTTGCTCGAATTTTGACACTAAAGTTTGGTGAAATTAAATTTATTTTTGTTGTTGAACATTCAGTGAAGGGACTTTTCCGTGATTTATATTAGTTATGATTATCCTACTTTGTTCATGTTTACCACCAAAACCTTATCAGGCCTACAAGATATTTTTAACTCATGAATTGTGATAGCGCATTCCAGATTGAATGCGTGATCAGAGTATGTAAACAGACCCTTGGTTGATCATCCATTAACTTTTAGTACTAACTCTGTTCTATTGTGGGGCATATATCTCTAGGGCAATGTGTTACATAGGCTTGGCTCAAATTATCAGCAGCTACAATCAAAGCCTTGTGGAAGTGCAGTGGCCTCTTGGTTACTGTGCTCATCTCCAGATTGAGTAGTCCAGGCTCGAGCCCTGGCGAGGGACATTGTGTTGTGTTCTTTGGCAAAACACTTTACTCTCAAAGTACCTCTCATCACCCAGGTGTATAAATGGGTACCAGCAAATTTAATGCTGGGGGTAACCCTGCAATGGACTAGCATCCCATCCAGGGGAGAATAGAAATACTCCTAGTTGCTTCATGCAGCAGAAAGCAGGATAAGCTCCGGTCTGATGGGCCACTTGGCTCGTATGCAGACTTTACCTTGCTCAAGTATCTTTCTGAACCAGACTTAATTGCTACTGAAGTAAGCAAGCCTAGAGTGAACAAATGTTGCAGCAGCAGCAGTCATAATTTGGTTATCTCATGTTGTAGATTAATCTCAATGTTTTTAAGATCACCTTTGTAGTGTCTTGGCTAGTCCCACATGTGTGTAATGTGTAAGGAGCCAATGACGTAACAGGAATTGTTTTGGTAGTTATACACACCCTATGCAAATATGGCGGACCACTCGGTCATCGCCCGGTACGAGTTGCATCAAAGTGAGGCTAGTTGGGCCTCAGTGTTCTGTTTTGAAAATGCTCCCCAGAAAAGTCTTGCTTCGTCCACAATCTGGTCCAGTTTATTTCGCTATGCCTATGAGTTTTTGTGTTCCTGAATGCCACCAGAAGGGATAGAAATTGTCCACCGTTCACTTCTAAGGAAAAATAGTGGATCCATGCAATTCACTGAGACAAAGGAAGTTCAGTTCACAATTGCCGTGAGCAGTGAAGTTTGTTCGCTACATTTTCAGGTTGGAAGATTTTAGAAAATTGTTTTAATGACGAGCTCTTATGTGGTGTCTGGAGTTGTTCTAACATGATTTGCATGGCCAGTACCTTCCCCGAGGTAAAGGAAAGCTCCTCTTCAAATACATCCTCTGTCTCAAAAAAAGTTGTCTTTGTCCGCCACCACTTTATTCAGACCAAATTGCACGAAATAAATATTACGGTGGAATCACCAAGTGAATGAACTTCAACTGCCCCCTCATTGAAACCAGTGAAAACATTGAGCCAAATGACAACGACTTGGAGCAAAATGCAATCAGTGACACATTTTCTGAGATCTTCTAGCCTGAAATGTTGCAAACAAACTTTTACAGTTCCCTCAGTGATCATGAACTCCTTTCCTTCGTCTGTTTTCCCCTCAGAGGCGAATGGCGAAACTAAAAAAAAAACTTTTTTTCCTGTTGAAGATTTCACTCCGTTCTGGTGGCATTCAGGAACACAAAAACTCATAGGCATAGCGAAATAAACCAGACCAGATCATTGACGCAACAAGACTTTTAACTTTTTTTTGTTTTCTTCATGTTTGTGAAAAGGTTTTTTATTATTATTATTATTATTTTTTAATTTCTTTTGTTAATTTAAAACTATTAACTTGGCACAGAGGCACAACTAGCCTCGCTTTGATGCAACAACCGAGTGGGCTGCTGTATTCTGAGTTTGGCAACTAAGATGTAATGTTCAATTCGAGTGTATTAAAAGTACGAGTTATTCTATTCACCTTGACTCTACAACCTTGTTGTAGCTGAACAGTGAAGCACTCTTTTGTGATGAAGACTTTAATGTTTCCAAACTTAACTGATGACTATTCTCTTCTAATCCAGCAAAAAGAACAACTTCACTGACTATTCCTCTCTAGCAAATACTTTTCTCCTCTTCTTGTTATTGTTCCATCTCAAATCCTATTGCATGGCTATTTGATAGCTATGTGCACCTCACAAACGAAAAAGGGGGTATCCACTACCAATAAGGTTTCTAGTGATTATACTTTTATAAATATTGAGGAACGATAATGCAAATCCGCTAACCATACATGTAGTTCTGACGGCAAGCTACTGCAATGTGTAAGGCTAGTAACCAAAGTGGTATTTAGGCTAACAGGAGTGCTGTTTAGCTGCTTTGTAGACTGCTAAAATGTCTTTTTCTGTAACGGTTAGAAACCAAAAAAGGAGTTGCTTTTCGATCCTCACACATGGTGATTTGCTTCTAAAGTGTTTATAATGCATGGAGATTTCCTGTTTTTTTGTAACTTCAATTTATTCGGTTTGGTAAAATGCTTATTAGTGAATTTCTTTAAAGGTAAAACACTGTTAAAGCTACAAGAGATAAAATGAATGCAAAACTGTCAGCAAAAATAATATTCAAATTACACTTTAGCGTGAATAATTATTAAGCTTGAACACTGCACTTCTTTGAGAATTTGGACTTCGGCTTCTAAAATGCCTTGAATGATAATCAATCTTGAATGAATTTTCTTAAGCATTTCGTTCATCCGGTCATCCAGCATTGAGAAGTTGGTCTTTGATACTTAGATGAAATGCATATTGTGTTTGTGTTTAAGGTAATTCCCCTGAAATAAAACTGCACATAGATTTTTGTTCAAACTTTTTCCAATGAATATTTATCATATGAGAACTTTATTATAAAATAAAAAAGGGAGGTGCCTGTGCTCGTTAAGGAGCGGTGAGGTATTGAAAATGTCCCATTTTAGCGTTTTTTAATGCTTATTAGAAGAATGCATTCCAAGTTATTGTAAACTCTTTGTGAGCCCAGACTCATGAAAACACGTCTCAAACTACAGTCAATACTTGTGTCGGACACAAATAAACTNCGTGGAGATGGATGGATGGATGGATGGAGGAACACGAGATGAGTCCAAGAGGAACTGGCACTTAGAATACAAAATGGCAGCTTGACTACACAGCACGACACGGAGAAACGGCGTGAGTCTTTCTTTATTTGGCCCAATTTTGACCGGAATTTTAATCTTCAAATGGGTAAAAGTTTCAATTTCATTTAATTTTATGTTTTTTTCATGATCCGAGATGATCCAAGTCGATCCGAGTTGATCCGAGTTGATCCGACCCAGACTGGCGGTCCGAGTTGATCCAGTCCGACTTTTGTACCTGCCTCTTTTATACTTATGGCATCAGATCAGAAAGGTAAGTGTGATAAAATTTACAGTTCTGATTGGTTAACGGGAAACATTCATGTTCTAATAAGCCTGAAAACAAAAACGACATAGACGATGCTTATTAAACTGTGATGCTAATTAGCGTCAATTGTAGTTTGACTGGTGACTTTTTCACATATTCTAAACAAGAGCAAAACTTTGGATTTTTTTTCAAACAGGAAAAGAAAGGTTAATTGCACACAGGCACGGGATAAATGAATGCTGAACACTGTTGGGCAATTGAAATTTTTAGATTTTTACTGAAGACTTTTTAACTCTTAGTTTTAGTAACATTCAAGCTGTATTGATTGTTATAAATCAGTTACATTTCCTTCCCCCATTAGTGTTCATACAAAAAAAAAATATTAGCAGGAGGGATAACGTAGCAGAGAACTGACGTCATAAATAATGAGGTGCTCTTGCATGGAAAATAATTCTAGGTTAGGGAATGAAATAAATGACAATGCACACAAGTGAAGGTAAACTTCTATTTTTAAGACGTTGGCAAATTGGCCAGTAGGATGTTGGCGAAGTGACTTAGGACGTTGGCAAATCAACCTAAGACACTGGCGAATGAGACATTGGCGAAACAACTCGTTGGCGAAACAACCAGACCCAAGGTCTCTGCATTTTCTGTCCTCAATTTTTCCCATGATTCAAGGAACTAAAACTAGCAGTCAAAAAAATCAGAGAAATGCGATTGTACAAATACACTGATCAGCTGTGTTTCACTGCTATAGTCACTATTGATTTTATGTCATATATAATAAAATGTAAACTGGTCAATGTAAAACAAAGACTGTGAACTGTAGACCAGGGGTAAAATGAAGACTGGAGTGTCCAGACATGTATCATGTTATTTCCATGGTCAGCATAAACAGGCTAGTCAGAGCTTCATTTTGGCTAATTTGAGTAATATTCAGGCTAACTGGAGTAATATTCAGTTTAACCAAAGTGATATTCAGGCTAACCGAGGTGCAGACTCTCACTGTGATTAACCTGAATAATCCTATTTACGGTCAGCACTCGATAATGGTGATAAATTATTTAAGATAAACACTTAAAATGTCTGTGGTCTGCAGTCTGCATTTTAACCCCAGTCTGCAGTCTGCGTTTTACACTGACCAGTTACTTCATTATTATACATTGTAGTCACCTTCTCTCTTCTCATTNCCCCCCCCGCCCCAGATTAGGGCCCTTAGTCACACTAAGATGATACTCATGTCTAATAATCAATGAAGGCTAAAAATAAAAAAATGCCCAGGAACGCCCCTGAAAACATGTGAGTCGAATTGTGAATCGGGCTCCTCCCGTGCTGCCCGTTAAGTTACAAAACCTAATATGATGTTTTCTTTGTCATTTCGTTAGGAATATTCGTGAGGAATATATCTTGACAGCACAGTTGACAAGATACCTTAAGGCAGTGAAAACCCTCTTTGATGAATATGGCAACGGAGACACTAGGGAAGACTCACGAATGCAAACATTGTGGCCAGTTCTTTGACCAGTTACCAGCTTACAAGGAGCATGAACGAACTCACATTGGGGTGAAGCCGTATATATGCAAGCATTGTGAAACGTGCTTTAGCCAATTAGGAAATTGCAAACAACATGAACGAATTCACACAGGAGAGAAGCCATATCCATGCCAGTATTGTAAAAAGGGCTTTAGCCAGTTAGCAAATTGCAAGGCACACGAACGAACTCACACAGGAGAGAAGCCGTACACATGCAAGCATTGTAAAAGGTGCTTTAGCCAATTAGGAAATTGTAAGACACATGAACGAACTCACACAGGAGAGAAACCGTATAAATGCCAGTATTGTAAAAAGTGCTTTAGCTGGTCATCAGCTTGTAGGAAACATGAACAAACTCACACAGGAGAGAAGCCGTACACATGCCAGTATTGTAACATGTGCTTTAGCCAATCCGGAAATTGCAAGCAACATGAACGAACTCACACAGGAGAGAAGCCGTATACATGCAAGCATTGTAATAAATGCTTTAGCCAATCAGGACATTTCAAGCAACATGAACGAACTCACACAGGAGAGAAGCCTTATACATGCCAGTATTGTAAAAAGTGCTTTAGGGAGTTATCATATTGCAGGAAACATGAACGAATTCACACAGGAGAGAAGCCGTATACCTGCCAGTACTGTAAAAAGTCCTTTAGGTGGTCATCAAATTGTAAGCGACATGAAGAAAACCACGCAATAGACTGTTCGCTAAAAGACAAACAGCATGGTCAATACCTAAACCTACGGAGACCTCTTCAGGAGCCAACAACAGATCACGGTAGCGTAAAGTCCCCTACGTTGTTGTCTTCGACTGAAGAAAAGTCAGGCCAAGTTGAAAGCCTCACCTGTTGGATTTGTCAGGAGGAATTAAGCAGCGAGGCATGTCTCATCCAACATTACGATGATCATACGAGACAAAACTGTACGACGCTTATATAAACCTTTCCCTTTGCGTTTTCTTCTCCTTGTGTATAATATTGGTTATAGGTTAACCACGACGTTTTTTGAAGCGCCAAATTTAGGTAGCAGTGACACGGTTAAAGAACGCTGCAACTTTCCAATACCTGCAGCAAACGTAACTTCCAGGAAAGAAGTCTCGTTTGTTTCTCCTTTTTGGCTGTAAACAATCGATTTGAAGTTAAAAGGTTCCGTTAGTTGCTCTGCCTGTACAAAATGCTTTTCAAGTTTTAATATGCTTAATTCACCAAGGTAGATAGATAGATAGAGCAGTTTTCATTTTAATGTCAAAAAGTAATCGGTTTTACATCAAGTACGCTACACGATTGGTGTGAAACCTTTTAGTCCGATCAGAAGTATAACCAAAACCAATCGTGACCACTCGCACACGTTTTCCCGCGTTTCGCGTCAGCTACATTTAATCCTCCGTAGGAAAAAAGATGGCGACTGGTACATTTACCCGTAATTCTTAGCGCACGAAAACCTTAACAACGTTCATAAAAACGTACAGAAACGTGATAACATCTTCAAACCTAGGCTACTCAATATCCTTATAACAAAGTGGAAAATGTTGTAAAAATCTGGCTTTCTTTGTGCCCTATAGGCTGTGTTAGGCTCGCAAGGTATTGTGGTAAAATGTACAGCCGCCATCTTTTTTCCTACGGTGGATTACTGGGCGTCATAAAGTTGACTTCTTCGCATGCATTTAAAGATAAACGCGTCAGTATAACCTCAATTATAGTAATAAACGTAATAGTCTGTTGGAGAACAGGATGTTTTCTTTATCGTTCATTTCATGCTGAAGCGAAAACTGACTGNAAAAACGTACAGAAACGTGATAACATCTTCAAACCTAGGCTACTCAATATCCTTATAACAAAGTGGAAAAGGTTGTAAAAATCTGGCTTTCTTTGTGCCCTATAGGCTGTGTTAGGCTCACAAGGTATTGTGGTAAAATGTACAGCCGCCATCTTTTTTCCTACGGTGGATTACTGAGCGTCATAAAGTTGACTCCTTCGCATGCATTTAAAGATAAACGCTTCAGTATAACCTCAATTATATTAATAAACGTAATAGTCTGTTGGAGAACAGGATGTTTTCTTTATCGTTCATTTCATGCTGAAGCGAAAACTGACTGACAAGTTTTTCGTTTTTAGCTCATTCATACGTAAGCAATGAATGAGTATCGTGAGGGAGCAATTTGTGGACGGAAATTGTGGACCGTAGACGGGAAGTGAAAGTGTCCTCACCACCCCTCCCCGCTTCGGCTTAATGAAAGTCCCAATAAGCAAGTGCACTAAAAAGAATGAAAAGTGTTGGTGTGGTGTGATAAACAAATTTTAACCGTGACATTAAGTGGAAGTTTCGCAACCTCTGAAAATCGCAATATGGATTGAGAAGCCGAAATGTTCACACCTTGGGAACCCTAAATGAGTTATTTTAACACACGCTAACACGAGGGAAATGGCAGCCATATTAAACACATTTGCTCTCGTGTTGCATTTTTGGTAAGTAATCATTTCTTTATTACTATGCTTTTCCTTTGGAACTCTTCAACATAAAGCGCACACATCAATCATAGCTGCCACGGTTTTTTTTTTATTCTTTTGATATTGCAATTTTTTTTGTTTTTTAATTAACACACAACATAGCCGCCAAGGTACTACATGTAGTCTCATCATCTTTTCGAGCTCCAATTTCGAGACTTCGAACAAAAACTGCCATACGATCTGCTAAAATCAGCAATACACACGACAAAACAACCTGTTATTAAAAGTTGCTTGACATGGCTACCAGTCACCTTCGATCAACAACAGGCAATGTTATCAGGTTTGTAACGACGAAGCTGGTTTGGAAGTTTGAATTATAATGAAAAGGAAAAATATGAATTCATCATTCTCGGCAAGGTGAAGAAATGTTCCAAGAAGGACCAACTATACGGGTAACCCGAAAACACTGATCCCCGGACCGTGGACTCCCACTACAGACCAGTTCCGCGGACTACCCTACGGAACGATCCTTGGACTACCCCTACGGACCCCATTCTACGAACCACCCCAAAATGGTGTAAAAATAATAAATAAAGATTTCACTGACGGGTTGTCTAATAGATACTTGTGTCGGTGAAACTTCGAGTGTTACACTGTGCAAATGTAATAGACAAAAGCTGTTTTCAGCGTAAGGAGATGCGATGGCAAAAAGAAGGAAAGTTGTTACCTTTCATTCGTGGCTCAGTCTGGCTATGGAAGATGTGTTTTTAGGTCGTTTAATTTATGCATCAGTCAATTCCAGCAGTGCCCATCCCCCCCCCGGGCTAACCCCCGGGCATTAGCATTTTTTTAAGAAAATTGGCAAATTCCCCGGGGTGGGGAAACATAAGCTGTCTAAATGCCCCGAGGTGGGGACGAAGAAAGAGGGCAAATGCCCCGTCCCCGGGATCGTCGCTTTCCAACACCTCCGCAGTTTTTTAATTGATCAGTGAATAAAACGGTCAACTGTTCAGTATTTTAATGCAACGGTAAGACTTCAAGGACAACAGCACGTGTTAGTTG